TCTCTCTCTCTCTCTCTCTCTCTCTCTCTCTCTCTCTCTCTCTCTTACACTGTTTTTCCCTTTCTATTTACCTATTTCTCTCTCTCATTTTCAATCTATTTTTAAAAATATTTATTTTTCCTTTATGTGCATGAGTGTTTTGCTTGCATGTATGTAAATCCACCTGTGTCTTGCAGTGCCTGTGGAGGCCAGATGAACGTGTCAGTCCTCTGGAACTGGAGTTACAGCTGGTTAGCCTCCATGTGGGTGCTAGGAACTGAATCTGGGTCTTCTGGAAGAGCAGCCAGGGCTCTTAACCACTGACTATTTCTCCAACTTCTCTCACTCTTAATAAAGCTCCTTTGCAGGCTTTAAACGGAAGCCTCTCCTTCCCTTTAAGGCCCCATCATGTTTAAATATCTTCATATATTATATTATTTCTGTTTAATGCTCTCCCACTCACCTCGATGCCCAATCACGGCCTTGAAGTCCTTTCATTATAATAAACCTCATCTCTAGAGAGAATTTGTGTATCTGCTTCCCTTTGCAGACCCATCACAGCAGCCTCTTTCATTCCTTAACAGGGATTGGAACACGAATATATTTGGGGAATGAGTATTCTCTCTGCCATGCTGGCATTAGCTCATTTGAATTAGGCATAAAAAGGCAAACACGTTGCATTATATACTAGCAGTCAAGGTTTGTTGCTTTATTTTTCCCAGTAACAAACTCATGAAGTGGCTACTATACTTTTCCCCATTTCTTGGTGAGAAAACTGACTCCTGAGAGTCAAGAAGAGTAGACTGTCCTGTTTCTCTAGGCTGAAAGGCAAAGGAATGCGTTCTTCTCACAGGCCTGCAGAAAGGAACATCCTGCTGATACATCCTGAAAAGTAAGACAATCAGCCTGTGTTGTCTGAAGCCACTAAATCTGGGCACCAGTAACAGCGAATTAACCCAGCCAAGGAACATGTTTACTTCTAAAATCCTACAGGTTATTTCCAGTACTAAAAGAAGGCTTTTTTTCTGTGCAGGTGAGATTTGATAAGAAACTGATATTAAGCCTGGAATTTTTCCTTCTGAGAATGATGAAGCAGCCTGATCTCCATCAGTGAGGCCGCCCAGCTTTACAGCTGAAATTTGTAACAAGCAACTCCATCTCACCCAGTGCTATTCTAGCAAATCATTTGTGCTGGCCAGCGTTAGCAATAATCAGTCAAAGCAAGATCTGGGAGAACACATACCTGCAAGTTTTGAGGTGAAACACAGCATCTTTGTTGCCAATGTTTCGGACCAGCAGCGTCTTCTGAGTGCTGTATTTGACAGGGCAAGTGGAAAAATTCAGCTCGTCAGGAAAATCCAGGATAGCTCGAGCACCTCTAGCTTTGATGGGCACAATAAACTTTTCTCTTTCAGTAATACAGGTCAACATATGGGCGTAATCCTACAAGGGAAGGGTACAACCATTAGTCAACCAACATGATCAAGATCACGGTGCAAGAAAAATGGTGGTCATGACAGGCACTGTGTGTGCATATGTATGCATGTGCGTGTGTGTGTACATGTGTGTGCGTGAATGTGTGTGCAAGGCAACTTATCATATTTCTCTGATAACTTCTCAAGACAATTAGAGATGTTCTTTCAATGAGATTCTCTTTTCTGGGGAGGGGGGACAGTTCAAGAATCAAAACTTCAGGCCAGTAAAGACGGGGGTTCATGGTTCCCAGATATTTGGAAGGTGAAGTAGGGGATGACTATAATCATGGTACATTTTCTTTAGATTAAAAGAGATTTGAGCTAGACCCTCGTGTCCTCCTACCAGGGGTGTCCAACCTCCTGACATTACAATACATTACCGTGGCCTATAAGTGTGTTGGACTACATTCACAGCGTTGTAGAACATGGTCCTCTGAGCAAAACAGTGACAATATTCACTGGATCAGTCTTGCTTGCTTGCAAGTGACCATCAAGATCAGGTTTGTTGACTGCCGACGCTCCCTCATGGAAGTAGGCTGGAGGGTGTCTTTAGCCCCTCACCTGAGATTCCAACTAATCTGCTCAGCCATTTGTATGTAATTCTGCCCTAACTGCATGTGACCTGGGGCCTCAAGGGTCTCTCAGGAAGTGCTAGAGGATGTAAGCTGGGGAAGGTTAATAGAAGGGGGTTATGCAGTTATGGGGAAGCCTTCACCCATGCTAGACCAAAACTTTCCCATGTGGCTGCCTTGGTCACCCAGGCTCCTGCAGGAAACCCCTAATAAACTCATTGGTTCCCCAGGTTACACTTTGGTGGAACTGTACTTTGGTTTGTGGTTGGGACCCTTTAAGGAGGAGGTAGACCTTGTTTATGTCCCTCCAGGGGAGGAATTCTCAGAATACATAGCTTATCCTGCATTCATGTGGGCCGTGGGCTGTGCATTGAACATACTTACATCTAAACCCTATTCATTGTTCCATCCCCTGTGTTTGAACTGATGATTCTGGTGAATGGTCTCTTCATACCTAGACTCTTTCATATGACTGTGAGCTCCTTCATCAGGAGTGAAGTCTATTTCTCCACCTCTTGCTTTGCACAACATGAAATGGCAGAAGTTGTGTTGTTAGTTTTAAGCTGAGGCTTCAAGAAGTTTTGTATTTCTAGTCTTGCTCTTAGGAATCCATATAAATACTGTCACATGAACAAGCCTGATCTAGCCTATTGCAGGGTGAGGGCCTGGATGTCCCATCCAGGACCAAACGAAGCTAGCCTCAGCCAGAAGACCCCTGGATATACAGAAAGTGGCCTGATCATAACCAGAAGAACCACTGTGCTGAACCACACCTTCCTGAGCAACACTCACTCTTTGAGCTCTACATTTGGGAGTGCTTTGTTGTTATACAGCAACCTCTAACAGATACATCGGCCTCCTCTCTTATGTAAAGTCATTTATGACTGTTCTAAATAAAAATGCTGAGACTGTACACATCTATCTTTCCTAATCATGAGTTTCAACACAACAGAAATACTGAATAAAGTCACTCCATGCCATCTTATTTGATAGAAATAGAACTCTTGCCAGCACCTTAACAAAGAAGAAGTTAGAAGCAAACCTTCAGCAACAAGCAAGACTAAGTTGACAGGAAAGTGCTAACAGTCCCCTTAAGAATTGACCAGAATTCAGAAGTTGCTGTGAAAGGCATGGGTTATCTAACCTGAGTATATTTTTCTTTATGTTTAGTTTTTGTATTATGTTGGTGTATTTTAGGTGCAAGGCAATCTTGATAAATGGGAAGTCCATTTGGTTTAAAGTTCCTTTCAGCAATCATGTAGCAAATGGCACTAAGTGGTAGAGGGCTTTTTTTGTTTGTTTAGTTTTTGTTTATATAAATAACTCTCTTGGGGCTTTGAGGAGCAAGTAAGAACAAGAATATCTGACATACAGATTGGTATATAGATCAGCTGTGTACTGGACTTCATGAAAGCCCAGAACAGGAGGAAGCAGTGGTGTTCTCAATTAGTCAGTTATTCTACTGAGTCTGTAAGTGTCCAGGTGCCTGGTGGAGTACATGGGCAACTGATCAGGAAACAGACATGGCCACAGCCTCTTTCCCTTACAAGATGCACAGGATAATGAACACATAAACAAAGGTTAGAGAATATATTATGCAATCCACTGTATAGATGTATAAATAATCATAAAGTCAAAATAACCAGGAAGACTCTGTAGCACAGTCCATAAACCTGCGGTTTCCTCCGCAACCCCCAACTTCCAAACACATACCCGGCTTCCCAGCTGGCGTCTCACTGGATGAGAATACACTGTATTCTAAACCAGAGCCTATGATCAATACCACTGCCTGCAACACTGAATTAGAACACCCTGTCAAAGGGCAGGAGTTGGAACCCAGCCTGTTCTTCCTAGCCTGACTGCTAAGGGACACTAAGACAGTGCACCTTTTCTTAGTCCCCACAAAGACTGCATGAAGCCAGCTGAGATCCTGCTCTTGACCTCTCCGCCTCAATCCAGTTCCAGCACTGCTTCCCAGGCTCAGTACAAATCTCCACCCCTTGGGTGACCTGTATTTAAAACCATGGATGGATGAAGACATTTGAGTTTATTCTTTCTTATTTTCTTTGTAAATCCTGTAGGGCTTAGCTCCAAGAGATATCTTGAAAGCAATCCCCTCCTGCCACCTGCATCCCTGCCATCCTGGTCCTAGCATTGCAGTCTTCTGTGGGCTAATGGGGCCCTCCTCCTTCGATCCTTGATATTCCAAAGTCCATTTCCATCCAAGGTCCAGAGAGATCCAGTTAAGGTGTAAGTCAGCTCAAAGTCTCCCCGGCTGAGGGCTGGGGTGCTCACAAGGGCTCCAAAGTATGGCTCCCGCTCTTTCCCTAGCCGCATCGCCTGTCCTCCTTCCTCATCTCTGCAGCTCCTGTCCCATACCCCCACTGAGAGCCTTCACACGATTTCCACTCCATCCAGACCTCTCTTCCCTCTGGTTACTCCTGATCCTTTTCCCTTCATCTTTTCAGGACTGGTACACTGTCCATTATCTCATAGAGGCCTCCCTTGACGGCTCCATGTAAGCTGACCTCCCCCAGCTTACAGACTTCTATGCCCCAGCACTACAGCAGGGCATGGACTTGGCAAGCACTTAACAAATATTTGTTGAATGATGTTTATATTTATTGAATTAATAATGCAACATTGAATAATGGTAATGAAAATATAAATAAAACGTGATTAGAAGATACAATATGATTGGAGAGCTCTTTACAGAGAGAGGTCAGGAAGGACATCCACCAAGAGAAGGCATGTCCACAGAGTCCTGAGCAAGAACTGGGTGGATGGCTCTCTGGGGGAGTGTGACTCAGAACTTGTGGCAAGAGGGAAGTAAGGCAGGAGGACTGGTTAGAGGCTGAGGAGAAGTTGAGGTAGGGTAGGTCACAAAGCATCTTTTCTGCCAATGGCAAGAACTGGACATGTCAGAAAGTATTAATGATGCAGACAGATGACACATATACAGCCCGTTTGTTGTTGTTGTTGTTTTAAGTTTGATTTATTATTTGTTTCATGTCTTCTCCTCAGTACAGAGAGAAATGGGAAAGAATTTATGGCCTGTGAGTTTTGGAGCCCGTGAATCATGTGGAAACATATGGTTGAAGTTGCATTTTGTTTTATTATTGCGCATTTCAAATGGAAGAATTTCGAACATGTGGCTTGCTCCTGCAAGGAAACTGGAGGATATCTCTCCCCTGTCTCCTTCTTCATTAATTTGTCAAAAGGCTAGACAGTCTACTGGAGGAAAAGCATGCGCAATTAAGTGTATCTGTATGGTATGACAGATACTTTGCTCAGCACGCACCCCCCCACACCTTCAAAATTATTCTTTGAACATTGCTACTGCACAAAATCCTTAGGAAAATATGACAACAAAAAGTTTAAGATGCCAGGCGTGATGTTGCAGTGCTTTGATCCCAGCACTCAGGGATAGAGACAGGCAGATCTCTGTGAGATTGAGGCCATCCTGGTCTACATAGTGTGTTCCAGGCCAGCTGGGGCTACAGAAAGACCCTGTCTCGATGAAATAAAATGAAACAAAACAAAACAAAGCAAAAGGTTAAGAATAGGTTCTGTTTCATTTGCTAACTAAACAATACTTTATTGAAATGGCTTTCCAAGTAATATAAATTGAGCCATAAATTATCAGTGTGATAATCTGCAATAATTAGAGTAATTTATAAATTATTTGTTGCTTTTTTTATAAAATATACTTTTATTCACTTGCTTTTTAAAAATAATATTTTAAAATTAAAGTATATGCATTGTACTGGGTTTCATAAGGACATTTTCACACACACACACACAGAATGTGTTTTAAGCTTATCTCCCCACATTCCTTTGCCTTTGCCTATTCCTCCTCCCTCCTCCCATTAGTCCCCTTTGTTCCCCCAGACGGTTTCACTTCTACTTCGGTGTCAAATATACATCATGGTTTTACACCAAGCGCTTTTTTTTTTTTTTTAGTTGGATAATTTCACTTCTCTGGGATTTTATATTCTATGAAATTCTATTTTATATTTAAAACCACTTGAAAACTACCTGATATATTTATTCTTCCAGATTTTTTTTTTATTTTTACACCCACTTCCCAGATAGCACCCTCCCATAGCCTCCCTCCCCCCACTAGAGCCCTTATACTCTGATATCCCTGCTACTGTCTGCTGTGTTGTCGGCACCCCCAGCCATTCCCCATTACTTGCCCTTCTGGTGAATCTAGTCAGCCTATCTAGAGGTCTTTGTTTTAGGAGGGTCAGCTGTTCCTCATCTAGTGGTCCTTTGGATAAGATTGGGGTCTGCTGTTCATTTTCCCAGTTCTATGCTGGGTTACTATCTGGGAATCCCTTTGGCCACCCTGGCCAACAACTTAAAAGAAGGTATCACCTGTCTGGCATTGTTA